GATTTATTCACTTTAGACAATTAGGATAATTTGCATACAGTCATTCAATTAGTGAGAAATGGAATAAAATGAAGGCTCACAGTGACTAAAACAAAATCAAGCATTTCTCATTTCATTTTTTTACTCCTTCAATCGCATCCATACTGACTTCGCTTTCTATCTCCTATTGATGTCTCCAACACTCTTCTGTCTCTGTAGTTGTTCCCTGAGCTTCAGCCTCAAGTAGTCCCACTTGGAACAGAACACCAGTTCCTGCACTGAGGGCAGTGTTCCCTACCTTTCTGAGTTACTTGAGCCAAATTCCAGGAGTCCCTCAACCACCTGTCACCAACCCTAATGATTCCACCTTCCCATCCTTTCTCACATCCGTCTGGTTTCCTCTTGCCTCACATCTCCATCATTTTTTGTCTACAGCACTGAAACCTTTTCCCAGCTTTTGAATTATGAATCTGCAGTTTCAGAAGAACTAGAACATCATTGTATCTACAAAGGGGGAAAAGCCAATTTCACTGAAGTGTATACATTCAATGTAACACATGAGTAGAAAAAAATGGATCAGATTTCAAATCTCAAATATTTTCAAAACTCAAAATACAAATAAAAGGCAAAATAAAAATATAGACAATAGCAAATATGGAGACAGGTTTTTTTCGTGTGGAAAGGGCATCAAGAAATGGAGGGAAGGGTGAGGGAGCAAATGGAAAGGAGATGAAAAAAGAAATAAGATGCGTTATGTACACATCCCAACGCCCCACAAGGAAAGTAACCTTATGCACTGCAAATATGTACTAATAAAAATAAGAAGTGAAAAAAAAATGGGCAAAACATTTTAAGGGTAGAGCCATATCCATTAAAGGTAAATAATATATGATAAGCTTTTTGTATGATAATCTGCTGAAACTTAGCATTTAATTAAAACAGACTTTTTTATGAAGAGCAAAATCACACTAATAAAAGACAAAGATGGCTCATAAACTTAGAAATATGTTCAAGTTTTATGGAGTTAGGAAAAAGGCAAAGAAAATAAATAATGGGTTAGTTACAATTAACAAACTGAAGATATTAAACATGAAAATAGGCAAGGTTGACTCATGTAAGGCTAAACTGGATCTCAGTATTTCTTGTGAATTATATGGAACTAAACCTAAATAAATTTACATACGTTTGGCTTAGTGCTATGGTTTGGATCTTAAATGGTAGATATGTTGAAGGCTTCAACTGCTAAAGGCTGGGCTAAGAGGCAGTGAGACTTCTAAGAGGAGGGGCCTAGTTGTGGAAGTTCGGTGATTGGAGGATGTGCCCTTGAAGGCCATACTGGGACCCTAGTGCCTTCCTGTTTCTCTCTCCTTGTGTCATGGCCACCTTGAGATAAATTAGTTTCCTAGGCCACATGTGTTTGCCATGATGTACTTACTGCTTTGCCACAGGCCCAAAAGCAACAGTACTAAGCCACCATGGGCTGAATTGTCTGAAATCAATGAACCAGAATCCATCTTCCTTTTAAGTGGATTTTCTCAAGTATTTTGTCACTGTGATGGAAAGGTGACTAACAACTAACAACTAACAACTAATAACACATCTGTTCTAGCAGTGTATCCTACAGAAATATGCTGTGATGTTTAAAGATACATGCACAATGAGTTTCAATTCGTTAAAAAACTGCATTGGAATTTATTGAGTCACTTGAACTTTGATATATTTATAAAAGCTGTTTACAGAGAACTGTTGTTGTAGTATTTTTCTATTCTGGAATATTAAATCATTCTCCTTGTATTCAGATTTTCTTTTAGGTAGCACAATGGGTCCTATGCATTTTTCAGTAAAAGTTTATTCCTAGACAGTTTACATTTTAAGTTGTTCTTATGAGTTCATCTTTTTTTATTATCTTTGATATTACATAAAGAATTTATTGATTTTTTTAAAACAATAAGCAATAGCAAAAATAACTCAAAAGTACTTTGATTTGTTTGGACTTCAGAGTTAAATATATATTGATATATTTTGATAATTTTGCTTTATCTTTTCAAAATATTTATGACCCTTATGGAGCTTTCTTATCTAATTGTGTTTAATGAAGGCATTTCAGAATAATTTTAACAGATATATTACAGCAGTAGTCTTTAATTTTAGTGCCAGGAATGAGCATGAATTTTATTAAATGATTTTTAATTTATCCATTGAGATAACAATATGCTTTATCTATTTTTTCAGACTGAGATAAAAATATATTAATTGCAAAAATAAAATACCTTTGCTTCATTAATTTAAGCTAATTTGTTTTGTGATGTTGCTTTTAGTATGTACAATCTAATTTGATTTACTAAAATTTTATTAAAGATTTGATAGTAGGATTATACTAACCTTGTAACAACTGAGTAAATTCTCGGCCTTCTCTAAGTCTATTTTATTTATAAGAAATGAAGACAATATGTTCCTTGAATGTTTGAATGTAACACTTATTACCATGAAAACATTTAGAAATAATGTCATTAAGGGTATGCTTATAATTTATAATTATAAATATTTATAATTTTAAAGCTTCTGTATATTTTAAATGTCTCTGGAATCTATGTATGTATGTATGTATGTATTTATTTATTGGTACCAGGGATCAAACTTGGGACCTTGTGCTTGGGAATGCAGGCAGTGGAACCACTGAGCTAAATCCCAGCCCTGGAATCAATTTTAGACATATATATTTTCCCACAAATTGTCTATATTATCAAGGTTTAAACATTTTATTACATATTTTGAGGGTTTATATTTTGTTAAATTTTTTTTAAATACTTGTTTTTGTGGTTATTGTTTACATAACTAGGTTGTTTTTGTCCTCTTTTTTTAATTAGATTTTCCCTAATTTATTTATTTTATTGGGCTTTACAGAGAATCAGCTCTTGAATCTATAAATTAATTTGGACTTTTTGTTTTTATTTTGCATTTCATTAATTTTCTTGTTTATATTTTTACTTTATGAACTCCTTCCCTTTGCTTTTTATGGTCATTTTTATTTTTGCTACTCCTATTTTGCTGAAATATTTCACCATCAAATATTAAGGTGTGCTTTTAAAAATTCCCTTAATATGAAGAACTTGTTGAAAGAGAATGAAGAATGGAGAGATAGGAGTGTAGAACACTGGAAGAAAGATTTGTACTAAAGATGAATTAATAACTTGCCCTCAAATTCAAGTGTGCTATCTCTAGACACACTAGAGTCAATATTGAAATATAACCAAGTTATGTGTATGCTACTCTTCCATATTAATACAACTTTAAATAGGCAGTGGCCTGGAGTAAAACCCTAAAGACTCTTGTGGATGAACAGTGGGAAAGGTACCAGATGAAAGAGTTGCTGGGGATATGGAAAGTTATAAGAACTTGGAGGATTTAGAAATAGTCTAGGAGAAGACCTAGGTTACACTCAGGTAGATCAGAAAAACTGGCATAATGAACCGATTAGAATAACAGGAAAAGAAAAAATAAGAGAAAAGAAAAAAAAATGGAAACAAAGTCTTTGTAAATAGGGAAGGGTGGAGGGGGTCAAGGGGGGCCAGCGGAATGTGGATAAAACAAGAACCAAGACCTGTCATGTAAGGGCACAAGATACCAGTGATGGATGTAACTGTACTGTACTTAAAAT